CCCCCCCCCCCCCCCCCCCCCCCCCCCCCCCCCCACCAAACGCGTTGTGCAAATATGTAAGTGGAGGGGGCACTGTGCAACTTTTTGTAGTCAAGGGAGTGAAGTGCAAAACACGCCAAAGTTCGGGGAGCAAACTGCCATTAACCCTAATTAAAAATTGTTATATATTTATATAATTTAGCTTGGATGTATTTATATGAACAAAAATATAAATGTACTATTATTTATTTATTTTCATATTATATGTTAAAAGAATATAAATAATTTGAAATATTCATTTTTCACCCATATTATTATTACCTTTTTTTTAACCTCACATAATGGAGTGATATAGGATTTCAACCTAAAATCAAGCACAAGAAATTTTAATTGTACACAAGAGATGGTAGTTATCTCAAACATGACACACAAAATGAAGACATTGTAAAATATTACATGCTAAATCCCATTGATGCATATAACCATAAACCATACACATGTTTCGGACCAAACTACGTATTTGTACGATTAGAGACGGCGCAGAATCATCGGGGCACCATACTGTGGTGTAAGAGTAAGAACCGGAAAAGGAGCATGCAAATAATTTGGAGACAGCTCAAACGAGAAACACTTGAGAATCATTGATAGAGCTATTTTCGCTTCGATCATCGTGAAGTTTATCCCGAGACACACCCGTGGGCCCGAACTGAACGGTATGAAAGATGATTGGATTTTCGACGCATTAGAAAACCCTTCGGAGAATCTCTGAGGTTTGAACTCATTTGCATCGTCGCCCCAAATATCGGGATTGCGATGGAGCATGCCTATTAGAATTGACAATTGTGTCCCTGCTGGAATAGTCAATTTTCCTAGTTTCACCGTCTCTGTGGCTTCTCTTGCCGTCAGAGGTATCGGTGAGTACAACCTTAGCGATTCTTGCAGGATCATCGTCACCTACCAAAGCCAATTAGCGTAGTTAAAAAAGAAATGTGGTTTTCTGAGACTTTTTTTTATCCCAAATTATTTTCTCACTTTAGAGTTTCAATAATGATTACACTAATTGCACTTTCTTTTCATTCTTTCTCTTTATCACTCTAAACTAATAAAAAATAAATTAGATATTGACAAGGATATTTTAGTAATTTCATGCTCATCTTTTATTTTGTTTGGCGCTATAACCCATGCATATTTTATTAATTTTCTCAATATGTGCGCAACAACCTAATGACAAGGGTATTTTAGTAATATAGATAGATATTCTTACATTTTTTAGCTGATTT